ATATTTTTTCGGGTTGATTTAAAGAAATTTATATATTTTTAATCATAAATATAGGATTTGGTCAAAATAATGTTATTCTTCATATATAATTTTGTTATTTCATTTGAAAAAGTTTTAAGTATAATCTATTATTAAGATAATCAATAAAAATGGTTTCAATTTAATTTATAATCTCAAATTTTAATTCAATTGAATGTAGTATTATTTACTCAAAAGAAAACTTTGATTTTAGAAAAGTAAATATATTTGTCCTCTCTTTTAGAAGAATCCAATTTACTAGAGAAAAAAAATAAAAGGTTTAAAAATTTGATTTTGTTTGATTACATTAAAATTAAGGGATAATATTAGTAATATTAAGATACCCTTTTCTTTGATTTGGTTAAATATAAATTTTTTTAGCATGGATCATATGTCAATTGCATTTATTTTATGTTTATTGAGAAACTTGGGAGCCGAAAATCTTTTTTTTTTTTTTTTTTTTACCTTTACTTTCTAAAACAAACTCTTTTTCGTCTTCTTTACTTTCCAAAAGGTATCCATTAATAGCAATTAGCAAGCCTTCCTTATTTCATATGTATAACAAAATATAGCATTTCAAACCTTTCAACTCAACAACGAAGTCTCATGTTGACTATGATTTGTCCCTTTTGAATATTGTCATGCCTTTTGTAATCCTAGTATTTTTTTTATGTATGTCTACGGCATATAAAAAAATTATAATTAATTTTTATTAAATTTAAAAAATTATATATTAATAATATTAAATGTTATCATTGTTAATTTTTATAATTAATTTCTTATCATGTGAACAATTTAAAAAACTACATTTTTAATATATGAACACATTGTGTGTGATAAAAATATAATATTTACTTTTTATAACATGTCTAATGATAATATAATAAAATTTATATGTAATAATATTTTATAAAATGCACATAATTTAATGCATTGAAAATTGCATAATAATTTTAAATATTATAATTTCTAATAAATTGTATTATTCATTAAATTTTTAAAAGTGTCTTTATGCCTGTTAGAAAAATTAAGGTTATGTTTAGATCATCCAGATGTAATAAATGGTATGGGATGATATCTTGTTTTATTGTTTGGATCGTTAAAATAATGAAATATAACGAAACTCATTTCATTATATTCCATTATTTATGATCACTCTTCTTTCCCTTTAACATAGAAGAAATGGGATGAAATAAGATATATGAACATTTGTAACATTATAAAGTTACTATTTTATCTTTAACATCTTTTGATTATCATGCATACATTATATTTAAATTATGTACATTATTTTTGCACTCCTATATAGTTGCTAACCCTTAATTTGTTCATCATTGTTTTTCTCTTGTTAAGATATATTCTTTTTGTTGGATATTTTTTTGGTGTAAAGTTATACAATAATTTAAAAAAGTTACAATTGAATTTCCAAATATAAAATAATAGAATAAAATGATAAATTAAATATAAAAAGCTCCATAATTCAATTATAGATATAACCATTTGATTTCGTATTGATTGATGTTAAAAAAAATCTTTTTCTTATACTTGAAACTTTAAAGAATTTGTACTCTCAAGCTTTTCTTTTCTTTTGAATTTTTGAAAATAATTTTTTAATAAATATTTGTTTTCAGTAGATTTGTTTAAAATTTTTTCATAAATTATGAATTTTCTAAAAAAAGTAAGATGATATTATTGTTATACTTTTTGAAATTTTATGAAAATAATATTTGTTTAAATAGTTTTTCAATTTATATTAATTCATAGGTAAATAACTGTTTTACACAAAAGAAAAGTGATGTGTTTATTCTTGGATTAATTTTTATTAAGTTAAAATGGGCTATCATATTTAAATCTAAATATAGTTAAATTAAAATTAGATTTTATTTAAATAAAATATATAAGTTTTAAACAATATATATTTTTATATTAAAATCTTAAAAAAAAATAGTTAGGTTAATTTAGATACACATAAAAAAAATAGTTACATATTATTATTACTATTGTTATTATTATTTCTATGTGTGTTAGGGCCTTAGCTGACATGTCAAAATTAGCTTCTTATAATAATGTTTATTTTTTCTTATGAAAGGATTTAATTTAATTTGCATTCATATAATTATTTTTTAATAATTATTTGCTAAAGTTATAATATTGTAATGTTTAAAAATTAAATTAAAAATACATACTTTTAAAGTAAAGCTATTTTAAAATAAAAAATATAATTTATTCTACTCGCTTCATTGTTTAAATAATAAAATGATTTTATTTTATTTTTTACCATAATGTATCCAAACATTAGAATGAAATTTTTACTTTGTTATGTTCAAATTCGCTTTATTTCATTTTAGTTCATTCTATCTCATACAGTCTTATTCTATCAATTTAAATATAGGCTATAAATATTATTATTTTAAAAATTAGTCTGTGTAAAAAAAATTAAAAATTATAATGCAAAATAAAAAATATAAGAGACAAAACCTTTTAATAGAATAAATCGAAAACTCATTATGTAATTGGTTCATACTAAAAATAAAAAGTTCAAAAATATACAAGTCAATATTTTTTAAGAATTAAAATTAGATAAATAAATACATGAAGTTTATTACTCAACCAAAAGTTACAACTAATTAAAAAAAAACAATTTTTAGAAAATATAATATTAAAAAAAATATGTACAAGATAAATACTACTTCATTTATTTAGGATTAATCTAAGTAGCTTTTAACAAACCGTTAAAATTCAGTGTCTGATGAATATTATTTTTTGAATTTTTAAATATTAAAAATTAAATAGATTTTTTTTATAAAAATTAATTTTAAAACTAGCAAAATTCTAAAATTAGTTCGTTTCAGTTAATTGTGTACCATTCCAACTCTATCTATAAATAAATAAATTTTATTGCTTCTAATTTGTTTGAATAATTGGTTCATTTCATGTTAAAACAATTCAAACCAATTATCATTTTCAATTCTCACGTTCATAATTTTCAACTCAAGACTATAACTCCTATCTCAATTTAAAATTAATTTTTATTTATTTATTCGTTTTATGCGTTAGTAAATAGGTCTCTTCTCTTACATTTAAGCATTTATCTTGACATCCTCACCTAAAAAATCGTAATTAATTATATTTGATTGCTTTTACTATTCAACTTTGTGAAAGATTGTTGTTTCAAACCATAAAAAGGAAGAAACTTATATTTATCTGATAGTGGTACAAAATTTACAACTTCTAATAAAAAATATAAATGATCATTAAAAAATAAAATTTTAATTTATTAAGTTTTTAAAATTTGCTAACCTAAATTAAACCAAACCAACTCACTTGTGCATATTTGAATTAATTTATCTTGAAAATTTAACCATTTTGTTTTGTAACTTTCATAAAAGAAGTTTTGAAAAATTACATTGAGAAAAGCTAAATAAAATATATTATAAACTTGTCCAGTTTATGTTTTTTCCTTTAACTTTAAAATCATACTAAACTATTATTTGAACACCCTAAGGATTCAAGTGTCATTGCCTTTAATTATAAAATTATTAGTGGAAATCAACCTCCAAAGAATAAAGGAAGAGATTAAAACAAATAAGTTTGTAAAAATCTTGATATATATATAGCTATAATAAATTTTAACAGTATAAATCAAATAATTTAACGATTAAAAAGTTAATTAAAAATAAATAAATAAAAAATAATAATAATAAAAATAACTTTTTAACTATTAAATTATTTATTTATACAAATAAAATTTTGTATAAATTTTTTAAACTTACACCTAGTCAATGAATCTTATATATATATATATATATATATATATATATATATATATATATATATATGAAAAGTTATATTAATTTAACTGAAAAACTTTTTATGAGAGGTTTTATTATCTTTAACTTTTTAGATTGACTTTAAACATTTAAAAATAATGATTTTTTATTAAAAAAATTAGATTTTAAAATTTTTAATATAATAATTATTTTCTAATATTTGTTGATGTTTGTTCATGTAAAATCATGTGCTGATACATAATAACTGTTAGATTAAACTAAGATTACATTTCATTTTAAATTCATTGAAAAAAAAAGGTGTATTTGTTCGAAACCTCTCACCAATAACCCAGTCTTGAAAAGAAAACACCTATTCCGAGTGAACTGCTTCATCTTCATATTTTGTATCTGCCGCATACATCCTGTTTTAAATTTTTGCATGTCATTTTTTATTTACTGGATGCATTTGATTTTTCTGTCACTTCTCATTTTGTCATTTATTGATTTTTTAAAGGGATGTTAAGAGTGGTACTTGATCGTTGCAGCTTTACAGGTTGTATATGGCTGCTCTTCACAACTTAGAAGACGTATATCCCTATTTATTGTTATTAAATGTTCACTAATTTTGTTTTAAGGTCGATACTGTTATTTTAAATTTTATTCCATATGCATATTCAAGCATTAGTCTAGATACTGGACTAAAAAATTTTCTTTTATTTATCGATTATTTTTATTTTTATGTTTTTAAAGTAAATATATACAATCAATTAATTGACAGTGTTTATTTCAGTGCTCCTAAATTATACTATATTAAAATATTCAAAAATATTTATATATATTTTAAATAATCATTATCTCTATCATTAAAATCAATAATCATAATTATTACACGTATATAAACATAAAATATTTTTTTATTTTTTAAAGTAATGTAGAATTTACCTTGAATTGACATGAAATCACTTAAATTTAATCTAATTAATTTGATTAAAGTTATCTGAACAACTTTAAGAAATCTCCTAATTCGTGTGACCCTACCTGGGGACACTCATTAATTTCCTAAGGAGCAAATAAAAAAAGCCTAAAAAGCATAAAAATTAATAATTTGAGATGTTTATTATTTCTCTTTCGTTTTACCTATCCCGTTCTTGTTGTATTAGAAAGGAAAGAAAAAGACAGCTCTGGTCTAATCTCTCTCTATCGCTTTCTCTTTTCCCCTAAAGTAAAATAAGGGTTGCTTATTCTTAAATAATTATTCTTTCCTGTGAAATTAGCGTTCCAGTTAAGACACTAATACTGCCGGGCGAAGTCGTATATAAAAGAAGAAACCGCGTCTGATCTTGTAAATCCCGTCCACCATAACGCTCTGTATCAACTTTACATCCCAAAATTTCTATAGATGGTATCAATCATGCCCTCAACCCCCGCACCAAACGTGAAGCTGTGCACACCATCAACAGTTCAATTTCATACTTAACCGGACCCATTCATTCCCAGACAATAGCCAGATCATAAGACACCCCACTTCCTTGGCACCTTTCACCCACCTCGCCGTTTTCCATCTTCTCCCTCTTTCAAAGCCGAAATTGAAGGGACCCAACAACACCCTTTTCCCCAATCACTTCCTCACTCAATAAAGACTTCAACTTTGACAACTTGGGTTTTGGATCAGACCCTTCAAGTTTATGGCAGACATAGTGAAGCAACTATTGGCAAGGCCGATCCAGTTAGCAGACCAAGTAACCAAAGCAGCTGAAGAGGCTAGTTCCTCGTTCAAGCAAGAATGTTTGGAGCTCAAATCAAAGACCGATAAGCTCGCGGGGCTTCTCCGACAAGCCGCAAGAGCGAGCTCTGACCTCTACGAGCGCCCAACACGACGCATCATCGCTGACACCGAACAGGTCCTCGACAAGGCCCTGTCGTTGGTCCTTAAATGCCGCGCCAACGGCCTCATGAAGCGCGTGTTCAGCATCATCCCAACGGCGGCGTTTCGCAAGATGTCCTCGCAGCTCGAGAATTCCATCGGTGACGTGTCGTGGCTCCTCCGGGTCTCGGCTCCGGCGGAGGATCGCGGCGACGAGTATTTGGGCCTTCCCCCTATTGCCGCAAATGAGCCCATTTTGGGCCTCATTTGGGAGCAGATTGCCACCCTCCACACTGGCTCTCTGGATGACCGATCTGACGCCGCCGCTTCGCTCGTGTCGCTCGCACGTGACAACGATCGTTACGGGAATTTGATCATTGAGGAAGGTGGGGTTGGACCCTTGTTGAAGTTGATCAAGGAGGGGAAGAAGGAGGGTCAAGAGAACGCTGCCAGGGCTATTGGGCTTCTGGGCCGTGACCCTGAGAGCGTGGAGCTCATGATTCATGCTGGTGTGTGCTCTGTGTTCGCCAAAGTCCTCAAAGAAGGTCCCATGAAAGTCCAAGCTGTGGTTGCCTGGGCTGTGTCCGAGTTGGCCGCAAAGTACCCCAAATGCCAAGACCTTTTTGCTCAGCATAACATCGTTCGCTTGCTTGTAAGTCATCTAGCGTTTGAAACCGTTCAAGAGCACAGTAAATATGCCATTGTTAGCAACAAACCCACTTCAATCCACGCGGTTGTGATGGCTAGTAATAATTCTAATGCTAATAATATGAAGAAGGAGAATGAAGACGAGGATAGGCATATGCAAAGTCGGATACAGCATCCGTTGGGTGATAGGTCCCCAAATCAGATGCATAAAGTGGTCACAAGTACCATGGCAATGCATGCTGCTGCCAAGCAACAGACCAATCAAGGAAACGAAGCATGTCAGAACTCCCAGGGTACTCAGTCCAAAGCCAATGGGCTTAGTAATGGTAAGCAAAGTCATCAATCACACCAGCAAAGCTATTCCTATTCTGGAATTAACATGAAGGGAAGGGAACTTGAAGACCCCGAGAATAAGGCTTACATGAAAGCAATGGCAGCAAGAGCCCTCCGGCAGCTAGCAAAGGGTAACTCGGCCATTTGTCGGAGCATAACAGAGTCAAGGGCTCTGCTGTGCTTTGCCATTCTCCTTGAGAAAGGGACTGAAGATGTGATGTACAACTCTGCCATGGCAGTGAAGGAGATTACAGCAGTGGCAGAAAAAGATGCAGAATTGAGAAGATCAGCATTCAAGCCCAACTCTCCTGCTTGTAAGGCAGTTGTTGATCAAGTGCTTATGATCATTGAGAAAGAAGATACAAAACTCCTAATTCCTTGCATAAAGGCTATTGGGAATTTGGCAAGGACATTCCGAGCAACAGAGACAAGGATAATTGGTCCCTTGGTCCAGCTTCTTGACGAAAGAGAGGCAGAAGTATCCAGGGAAGCGGCAATCTCTCTCACAAAATTTGCCTCCCCAGATAACTACCTTCATCTTGATCACTCCAAAGCAATTATAAGCGCAGGTGGAGCAAAACACTTGGTCCAGCTTGTATATCTTGGAGAACAGACAGTTCAGATTTCAGCTTTAGTCCTGCTCTGCTACACTGCATTGCATGTGCCAGATAGTGAAGAACTTGCTCGGACCGAGGTGCTCGGCGTGCTTGAATGGGCATCCAAGCAACCTAACATGACACAAGACGAAACCCTCGAGGCATTATTGCAAGAATCCAAGAGTAGGCTGGAGCTTTACCAGTCTAGAGGTTCAAGAGGATTCCAAAAATTACATCAATAGCATGAGTAAGTAATTCATTGTTGTCTTTGAGATTTTTCAACCATAAGTATCTGATCTATTGTTATTGTGAGTGTATATACAATCAAATGCCTTCTTGAATTGTTCAGATGTATTTTCAACTACAAAGGGAATTGTTTGCCTAATCCATTTGTTCTTACTTTCCTTCCCTTCCTCTCCCATTGACCCCATACGCCCATGTCAACCACACCAATTTGTCATTGTGCCTTTGTAAACAGCCTCCTGTTGCCCGTAAGCTTATTATTATTATTATTATTATTATTAAATGTATATGAGTTGCAATTCTTTCTCTGGTAGAAAACCAATGAATTGATAAAAGAAACTGAACTCAGAATCAGATGCTAGAGCAAAAATAATTGCAGATGAAAAAGCAGTCAAAACACGTGGTCAGGGGTATAAATCAATCAGTGGCAAGAGATGGAATTGAATTATATAAAACCATATTACAAAAAGTAAAATATAATGCTGAGCTTTTTTGCTTTATGAGACATACAAAACGTGCTACACATAAACATTACTTCCATTTCTAATTGGTTTAACAAAAATAATAACTGCCAGTAGCAATTCTTTGTTTTCAACAAATTGTGTTAGATGTTAGTTGATTCTCACAACGACGAACCTAATTGGTGTATTCACTTAAGTACCCATGTTGAGTCATCACTTGAAAAACTCAGGCTGATAAATGTTCGCGTAGATATTCCTATTTCTAACTGTCTTTATCATCTCAAAGTCAGCAAGCTTATATAGAATAGAGATAAACAAATCATAGTGCGAATGCACAGTTAAATCGCAACCAATCAAAAAGATTACTTCAATTGCCAATGCAATTTGTACAATTCCATTAGCAATTGAAGAGGAAAAAAAAAAGGAGGGGCAGCTGAACCTCTGCTTCAATGATATTCCGCCATTGAAGTCAATGGCATGGGGCCAATAGGAGAAAATGATCAATCATTTTGGCATGGGTATAACAATTTTAACTAGTCAAGTTATTATATACAAGTATCACACGCAGGTAAAATATACCCATTCAATACGGGGAATAAATTGCTACTATCTAGAACAAGTTTTACCAGTAACACAATCTACGCGGAATATGGGCAAAGCATACACAAAAAGTACACAAAAAGGAATGGCCATGACGTGCTTTAAAAGACTTGGGAATAGTCAAACAACTAGCTATGCACGATACAAAAGCTACTGTCAATTTTAAAGAAACTCACCACTAAGAGATGAAGGACAAAGGCTAAGAAAGTGACATGATTTCTTTTATGACAAGAAAACCCATCAAGGTACCAAAGAGGAACAATCAACCAGAGAAGTCCTCCAGTCAGAAATCTAACAAGTCATAAAGCTACAAATGAGACATTAAAATGTTTTGTATTTCTATTCTCTAGTATAAGACTGATTACCCATTCAAGGCCCCTTCTGACATTCATAAACCCTTATGCCACCAGGTATTTGGGCTACATGGATCAATCTAGGCACCATTCTATCAACAACCAACATTTAGAATGCTGAAAGTGGAGTACAACTCATTCATACTCCAACACCACACAAATTTTGACCACTCCTATGAGATGGAAGTTATACGAATGTAATTTTCCACTCTGGAACAAGTAACAATGAAGAAAATTTGAAAAGTAAATGTAAAATTTCGTGTTAATTTGGTCTCTAAAGTTTGCGTGCATATACTATTATTCTTAAATTTGTCAATTTTTTGATAAACCAATCTTTTAATATAAAATTGACCAAATTTGAGGATCAAAGATTCGAGAATTAAATTGATAGACAACTAATTTGTCGACAAGTTAGTAGGTTTGTGAGTTTTTAACTTGTGTACATGCAATTTTTCTAAAACTTACTTTTAACACGAAATTATATATTTACCCAAAATTAAACTTTTTGTACTATCAAACTCCACTTTCACACTTCTTCTATTTCTACCTACTCAAACAATCATATTCATGGTGCAAAGCCTAAAGTTTCTGATACAGATAATATAGTTGGGCCATTAGATCAAGATAAGAGTAGATCAAGTGAAGGGAACAACCCAAATGCAAGGCCCAAAAGGAAGATTACAAGACCAACAAATTGGAATGATTATGTTCACTTAGAGAAGAGTTTATTGTCTCTTATTTTGTTATTTTAAAAAACTATATTTGTCTTGTTATGATATTACGTTGCAGGGGGAATCTTTTCTATTAGGATTTTATATGACTTTTTTGCAGAAGTCCGTTAAAGCTTACGAAGAATTTATAAACCATTGTAAAGAATTATTTTGAGAAATGAAAAATTAATATCCTTAAGTTTCCTTTTCTGGAGGACTGGTACCTCGAATACCAGATTTCTGACCCTCATCTCCTATCATTTGGCGCTTTCAATGACGAAAACTCAAACCTCTTCTTTGAACCTTTTGGTTGATCAAGTATCACAACTCACAACTCGCATTGATGATCTCTCTTCCGAGGTTGCCTCCATCAAACAACAACCACTTCCTTCCCCCATTCTTCTTTCTCCAAGTCTGCTCCCAAAATCAGATTAGACTATCCACATTTTGGTCCCCCACCTCCAAAGACAGGAACACCTCCTACGGGCACTCATAACAGTAGTCCTTTGCTTATTCCATTAGTTATCTTGGACCATTGTGAGAATACTTTAATTGAATTTTCGCAAATATAAGTTCTAGTGCAATGGTAGGGTCTATCGCCAGAGAAACCTACTTGGAAAACATGGGTTGATATAAAACAGACTTTCAACCTTGAGGACAAGATTTCACTCCATAAGGAGAGGAATAATACAAATGATATAGTTAGACCATTAAATCAGAATAAGAGTAGACCAAGTAAAGAGAATAACCTAAATACAAGGTCCAAAAAAAAGATTACAAAACTAACATATTAAAATAATTATATTCACCGTAAGTAGAATTTATTATCTTTTATTTTGTTATTTTAAAAAATTATATTTGTTTTGTTATGAGATAATATTGTTAGAGAATATTTTAGAATTTTATATGACTATTAGAGTTTATGAAGAATTTATAAATCATGGTAAGGAATTATTTTGAGGAATGAAAAATCAATATATCCGGTGCTCGAATACTAGATTTGTGACCCTCACCTATCAGTTTCACTCACGTAATTGATTGCCTACATGCTCGTTTCCTCGCATTCTCGCAATGTTGATTGGAAAAAGAATCACAAAACCGCGGGAGAGACAATCAGATAGAAAAGTCAACCTAAATTCCGAATCGAGAAACGCTCCACGCAATCGAAATCAACGCCAACATAGCATCACTATATACGATTTTGGTAAGAATAACATCCTGCAGAACTCCTCGCGTCCACATTCCCATGCTATGCTATCCTGAAGCGGATTATGAGAACAAAATCTTATTAAAACTATTTTCATTACAACAAAAAAGCAAAGTTTAAAGTAAATTTGGGAACGGTAAGAGGTGACAGTTTCCGAGCATGGAAAATCAACCAAGATTCAGCAAGGCTTGAAACAATCGACGATTTTAGGGTGTAGTAGTTGTGGAGGTTCAACAATGACGATTTTGTTGTAGGGAAACAGAGGGATTCCCCCAGAATATGAAGACAGTTTCTACCACCTGTTCGAACTTTCAAGCTTCAGCGCCAAAACGGCCCCGTTTTGAGTTTCTTTATTCAGGTTCACTCTGGATCTTGATTTTCGGTTCTCTGAGCCCAATCGCTCGAAATTTTATAGTGGGCTTAGAAATGAGTTTTTGTCTTGTGACAACCATTAGTTTGGAGTTACTATTTTGGTAAAATTTACTTCAACTTTGTAATTGAGAGACGATGTTGAAATAATTTTGAATGTTAATTTTAGATTAATAAATAATAAAGTTAATAATTTAGTTAAAGTAAATTTTAATATCTTTTTATTTTTAAGATATTAAAAAAATCACAATAGTTAATATAAAATATTAAACACTGTTTGCATAACTTATTTCAGAATATTTTAAAAATTATGTAAACAAGTTGTTGACGGAAAAAATTCTTAAAAAGTTTGTATTCGTTTTTCATATTCCCTGAAAAGAATTTTTAAAATTGTGTACAAATAAATCAAATAAAAAGCAAACGCACTGGTTTATGATCCAAAATTCCCAATGACCTCTGTTTTTGAGCTCTCACGATAAACACTTTTGCTTCCCTGCAAACCCTTCAGAATCATATTAATAAAAAACAGAAAAAAGGTTGTGTTTTTAGTTTAAAAAAAAAAAAACAGTATTAAAAGCAATGACCCCACTAGTTAAATGAAAATATTTTGCTGACCAAAAATATTTTAATAAAATTCATAACCTACTTCCAAAATTTATTTATTTTTAAATATACTTTATATTTTTAAAAATAATTTTTAAGACAATAAGATGGGTGTATAAGGAATCGTCCTTGTTAAATTAAGTTAAAAATAATCGGGCTAATGGTCTTCTGCATTACTTTCGAAAGAATAGGGAATAAACTGATTTCTCATAAAACGCTTGAACCCTTTTCTTCATTCCCTTCACCTTTATTTTATTTTTATCTTTGATATTTTTATAATTTCTCATTTGTATATTTATTTATTTTTCACAATAGAAAATAATAATATAAATTCATTTATATCTCATTTCATTTAATAAAAACATTTATAAAGAAGAATAAAATTAGATAATTTTTATCCTAATATTTAAGATAAATTAAAATAAAAAAGAATTTATAATTAAATTTTGATCCAATAATTAATTATATATTTATATATCATTTTATATTTATTATCTACTTCAATAACTAGTTTTACCCAGTATTTTCAATTCAATTAATTAGGTCATCATTTTAGCATTTACCTAACTCACTCATTAGTTTTGTCAAACATGAATATCCCACCTTGCTACTTTTTTGTTAAAATTTTTCCTTCATTTAGATTATGAGGAAAAATTACTCTTTTTACTAACTAGTTCATTTCTCTAAAAAAAATTTCATTTTACCAAACAAAACATTTAAATAATAATATAATAATTATTTTATCTCATGTTATAAAGTTACATTCTATTAGAGATTGCTAGTTTACACCTATATATATTAAGGAGTATTTTATTAAGTTACACCTTTGAGTGTGTTATAAGAAATTTAAAATTATAACTTATTAACATAGTTCTTTTAAGAAATAAGAGTGCATATTGGTAAACTATAACTGATAATTTATACTCACTTATTTTTTTAGAAAGGCTATGTTAACAAGGTACATGTTGATATATTTTAAGAAAATTATATTTGTTAAAATATTTTTGTTTTAAAAAAGGTGAGTGTATTAGCAAAATTCTATTTATCAATATATACTTTATCTTTTAAAATGAACTCATATTTTTCTATACGTTCATCATAAAAAAATAAACAACATATTATTATTATTATTATTATTATTATTATGGTTTATCATTTTAAGTACAAGTATCCCAAAAAATATATCTTATATATAGATAAGGACACAAAAATATCTCATTTATTGGTAAAAAGAAAAAAGAAGCATTTTTGGGATAGGAAGATATTGTAATAAACAAAAAAAGAAAAAGGGTTATTTTATTTGATCACATTTTTTTAATTCCATTGGAGCCTATGTAACATCGATAAATATGAAAGGTGCTAGTTGAGAGTGGCAGATACCATCGTAGCACGTACACTTATCCTAATATAATATCCGCCACTGCATTGTCTTCCGAATCTCGTCCACTCAAATCTTATAATCCACTGTTGTCTGTGTAGCCAAAACAACAACATTCATTCATACTTCACTGCCAATTCCATATCATCATTTCACTGAACATTTCTCCTCAAATGGCTGCTGCGGTAAGTGCTGCAGTCTCCTTTCCATCTACCAAGTCTACCTCTTTATCAAGCAGGACCTCTATCATTGCCCCAGACAGAGTTTTCTTAAAGAAGGTACGTTTGATGTTTCACAGACATGTGTTTTGGAGCAATTGAGGATTATTGAGATTACAATTTTTTATGATCTGGGTTGTTATGATTTCTCTCTCAGGTTCCACTGCAATACAGAGATGTTTCTACCAGTGGAAGGGTAGTCTCCATCAGGGCTCAAGTCACCACTGAGGCACCAGCTAAGGTTGAAAAGGAGTCAAAGAAACAGGAAGAGGGTGTGGTTGTGAACAAGTTCAAACCCAAGAACCCATACATTGGTAGATGCCTTCTCAACACAAAGATCACTGGGGATGATGCTCCCGGAGAAACTTGGCACATGGTCTTCAGCACTGAGGGTGGGAAGCTTATGTGTTTTCCCTTTTGTTTTTCCTTTACAATCCATTGACCATACTGTATTTTGCTTTTAAAATTTGTATTTTGGGATAACAAACTTTTAGCATGTTATTTCAGGAGAGGTTCCTTACAGAGAGGGACAATCAATTGGGGTAATTCCAGAAGGTATTGACAAGAATGGTAAACCTCATAAACTAAGATTGTATTCCATTGCCAGTAGTGCCATTGGTGACTTTGGAGACTCCAAGACTGTGAGTATCATGTTTTCACTTTACAATTACATTATTGTTAATGGGGTTTGACTGTTGAAAAAACTTTGATTCATTCATGCTTCCATCCTGTTCTAAACTTGCTTGTGGCTTGCCTAGTGTACTCCTAAACTGGTTTGAGACATGAGTCCACAAATGTGTGCGAAATTTCATCTTGAGAAATGCTAGTAACATGTTTTTTTTATTCACTCTTCTAGACACTTTCTTGTAATTAGTTGATTATTTAAAAGTCAAAACATTTACCTCATAAATTGACCAATTTTTAAAAATTGTTGAGTTCTGAAAAAATTGATCAATTCCAAGAAGTGTGTCTAAAAGAACGCACTTCTCTTTCATATTTCATCTTTTGTAGGATCAACACTTTTAACTTGACTATATATTGTACAACAATTTATCTGATACGATCACTTTCCTACAGGTTTCTCTATGCGTGAAACGATTAGTGTACACAAATGAAAACGGAGAACTTGTCAAGGGAGTCTGCTCAAATTTCTTATGTAAGAAATGAGTAGTTTTAATTTTTATATAATATGGGCTAGAGGAAAATTAGCTATATTTTTTTGTTATTTTACTTTGTAATGTTATACTGCTGATATCTGCCCTTATTTTACCAATTATTTATATTCCTCTTCATTTAGGTGACTTGAAGCCAGGATCTGAAGTAACAATAACTGGACCTGTTGGAAAAGAAATGCTTATGCCGAAAGATCCTAATGCCACCGTCATCATGGTACACTATCATTTGTTTTCATCTTAATATACAGGGAATATGGTATATGTGATGGTCATGATTATTGTTCTGATCTGCTCCATTGATCATTTAAAATTTCTTCACAGTTGGCAACTGGAACTGGAATTGCCCCATTTCGCTCATTTTTATGGAAAATGTTCTTTGAGAAGCACGATGATTACAAGGTAAGTGTCCTCAAAAGCTAAAATCTTGTTCACTTGTAAGTATCTATAAGGAAAAAGAACCAGAACTAGAACATTAAGCTGTATAGTTTATAACAGACTTTAGCGTGATTCACCTTAAATCATGGCTGGACACTACTTGTGACAAATCTAATTGCATAGTCTTGGAGGAACTAAAGAGGGAATAACCTTAATATTAAGATTCACCACGATGAGGCATACTATCAAATTGCAGTTTGCAACTACAAAGCATTAAAATGTGCATGCCAATGTTTTATCTGTATGGATCTTACAAAATAATGTCAATGTTTTTCTAGTTTTAGGGAGATAGCATTTGCTAGCTAGGGGAAGGGGGATTTAAGCCTAGTGGGAGCTATCATTGCTTGACCTGAGCTATTGGTCAAACGATGCAATTTTTTTAATCTACAGTACCATAGGCAAAATTATTTGACTGCTGCACAAGAAGCTACAAAAGTTCAACATTATCAGTATTTGTTTGCAAGTGAATTTGATTATCAATATTAACCTTGTTTTGGCATATATGTAGTTCAATGGTTTGGCATGGCTCTTCTTGGGTGTCCCTACTAGCAGCTCACTGCTCTATAAGGAGGTGAGAAGAATCAAAATTTTCTCATTACTTAAAACTTCAGTCTTATGGTTTCCTTTATGTGAAGCATATAGATTTTCTAGGACATATACTGATTACAGCTTCAATTGTACGAGGCAGGAATTTGAAAAGATGAAGGAGAAATATCCTGACAACTTCAGGCTTGACTTTGCTGTGAGCAGAGAGCAAACCAATGAGAAAGGAGAAAAGATGTACATCCAAACCCGAATGGCTCAATATGCAGAAGAGCTGTGGGAATTACTGAAGAAGGATAATACTTTTGTGTATATGTGTGGACTCAAAGGAATGGAGAAGGGAATTGATGACATAATGGTGTCATTGGCTGCCAAAGATGGTAAGAAATTTTTCTTTCTTCACACTTGGGAGAGAAATTTATGGAGAAATGAAGTGGTTTGAGACCAACACTTGTCCATGGTGGTTGGCCAGGACCATAGACACGTGTTGGACTCATAGACTACCTAATAATTTCTCTTTTCGTTTGTACATCATTTGGAGAAAAACTTCATCAACTATATTTGTGTTTCGTTATGTACTATAGGCATTGATTGGGCTGATTACAAGAAGCAATTGAAGAAATCAGAGCAGTGGAATGTTGAAGTCTATTAATTTCTGTTCACTTGCACAGATATCTACTCCAACTTTATGCTGCAATGGATCTATCACGCCCCCTGCATTGTGTAGATATATGATGACCTTGTTATTTTTCTTGGACAATTTTTATACTGTTCATGAACAACTTCATTGCGACAATCTTACAAGAAGTAATGTTTTTGAGGGATGATGCACTATAGATGAATCCAATTTCATTGTATCATTTCCGGACTTTATCTTCTGATGAGATGTACTTAAGTATCCTTTGCATTATATATCTTGAACACCACATTATGTATTTAACTAATTCGAATACAATAAAATAAAATTAAGGTTGTCGAATTAAGGAGTTTAGATAAATTCATGGAGTATGTAAATTCAATTCTTAGTTTGTCCAATGTTAAAAGAAACTAGATGTTACAATCATTTCACAGATACTCAAATTTAGAGGCTGACAATATATAGAAATTGATAACGCCTAACCTAAGTTAGGGTTTCATATGGTTCATAAATAAGTTAGCAAGATGACATATTATAATATGTTTTAAAAGTTATAGTATATAATTTAATCATTAATAAATTTTGCTGGTTAAGAATATTTAAATATTAAATATTCAAAACAAATCTTTTAAAAATAGTTTTTTTTTTAAGTAAAACAAAGGTAAGTTTTCTTTTTCATTCACATAAAATTCAACTTTATTCTTTCAAACTCATTCCCTTTCATCTTTGTTTCTAAAAGAAGTTCAAACATTTCTTATATGTTTCTAACAACTAATTCAATAAATTTAGTAGTTGTGGTTGAAATTTAAACAATAAAAGTTTGAAAGAAATATCTAAGACAAGAGATCGAATAGAATAAAGTAATTTTTGCTTGAAATAGTGTTGTAGAATATTTGTTTAATTCTTTCTTATCCTACTTCAATTCCTCTGTATTTTTCCCTTCCAAGTAGCATGCAAATATGCTTCTCAAATTTAACCTAAATGACCATACTCACTTTGTATTGTATTATTATACTTTGAATTGTGATATTTGTAAATGAAACCAATTAAATTTTTAAACATCATATATTCATCACAATTCTCTTAAAAACAACCAATTTGTATAAATCAAAATCGAGATAATGACTAAAGAGATGTAGTTAAATGCTAAAAAATGCAAGAAATCATTATTTGTAATTTTTGCTTAAGTTATACTATATTCACTTAAGCTAATTTTATATAGTAATGAACATATAAATTTCATTAATATTTGCTTAAGTCATTATTTTTAGCTCAAGCCAAGTCAATTTCTATTAGACCATAATAATTTAGCTTAAGCAAAAATATGATACCCAATCTTCGTTTAAGTTAGACTTTATTCGTTTAAGCGAATATTAGAATATATTGTGTGACTTAAGCAAATTAATGACCACTTAAGCGATGTTTATTTAGTGAATCATTTTTTTCCTGTAACTTTCGCTTGAGCGAGGAAAATATGACTGAAGTAAATTTTGCATAAATTATGCGAAGTAGATATGACTAGTGTACAAGGAAGGCATTAAAAAGATCTAAAATGATATTGAACAATTTATCAATACTGATTTTCATGATGAATTAAGACTTTGAGAGTGGATGTGAAAGTTTTAATTCTAAAAATCATGAACTTCATACATATAATTTGCGAAGAATCCTAAAAATCTAAAATGGCATTCGACATTCTACTAATTCAAAAGTTACTTTTAAATATAAATTGAAACCGCATCAATGCATGTGAATGCAAACCTTCTTAAAATTAGCACATAGATATGAGATACATACAAGATTTGTTTGGAAAAGATAAAAAATGGATTACAATACAATTATATAAAGATATAAAATAACAAATTTTGAAGGTCCAAAGAACAATTCCTAATATGCATTTTTATGCACTAGAATAAATCAATCACACATGAAAACTGAAATTATCATTAAATGTAAAGGTCACATAAAATCATGTAAACGATTCATCATAGTCTAATTATAAATTTAGTTACTCATTGTAAGACAACTAATTAAAACAACAACAAACAAATCCATAGACATAAAAGAAAAATGCAAACTAGAAAAATTTTCTAAGAGAAGAGAATGAAAAGAGTTCTTGTTCTTCAAACACACTGTCAATCACTTGCTTTGACTCCAAAGCAACTTTCTTTATCTTCATGAGTGACCTTTGCTCTTAATGCCACAGTGAGTGTGGCTAGCGTGCGTACGCACGGGTTTATGAATTGTATTTATGGATGTGAAATGTTGCTGATACCGTGAGTGCATAGGTGTTAAATTGACCTGCTGTGTGATAATGCTATCTGTAATTATAATTGTTAATGTATTGGAAATGTGCTGGAGGTAAGACTCTATGTTGACTGTGTGTCTTTGGGTAGTGTAGAGTACTCACCCTTACATTTATTTTTCAGGTAATCAAGACGATCAGCACCGGACTCAGTGAAGGGGTGGATGAAACTGCTATAGGATTTAGGATATTATTTTGAAAACTGTTGTATTTGAATAAGTCATGTAGCAACTGTTTAATGTAATTTGTAACCCCCTTTCTTTATTTGAAATGTTTGATGAAACTTGGATTGAAAATGGAAGTTTTATTATTTCAAAAATTTGTGAAATTCCTTATTTATTGAAAATTAAATTTAAGGTGTTACATTAGGGATATGCCACAATTTCAGGGAGGGGCAGGCACCGGAAATGGAGATTAAGACATTGGTGCTAAGATGGAAAAGGAAGATTAGAGAGATGAATTGTTTAGAGAGGAAGAAAGAAAATTGAGGGACATGTTTATGTTATGCTTATGTTTAGTTTATATTTATAATTTTGTTTTGTTATTTCTGTTACTTATTTGGTGTTTGACTAAGACTTTAAGTTTTGGGTTGCACTTTTATTTTGGGATATTATGAATATATAGCATCGTCAATGGTTGAAGCATATTTTGGCAAGTTATAAGTGCATTGGTAGTTATATGGTATAGAATCAGCTGATATGTAATGACATATGGAGTAAATGCAAATGTTAATTGTTAGGAAATGTCTTGAAAAACTTCTTTTTGGTTTTTAAAAGTAGCACCAATTATTTTGGTGAAAGTAGTTTGAAGAGACTCATATTGGCAGTGTTCTGAATCTAAGAATTGTTTTGAAAGATCAAAGTAGAAGGGTTTTTGTGAATGTGAAAAGTTGAGGTTGTAAGTGAAAGGGAGTTAGGATGTATTGTGCATGGAAATAATCAATTAGAAAATTTGAGCAATTTATTTGTCTTAATTGAAGAAAAATTATTTTAGCCAAAGGAATGCAAGTGTGGGTGCTGTAAATAAGTAAATAAACTTCACTAAATTTTGTCGGTCAACTTTGCTCGAGTTTCTGATTTCTATCAAGCACAATAAGTCATGGAGATAATTGTAGCATAGTTTGTAAATACAATTTTATAGCTAAAGCCAAAAAGCCAACCCATATTCAAGATTTATCCAATTTTTGGAAGCCTTTGAGCCTAAAATGCAAAATTTTTGGAAAATGCATGCACCTCAAGCCTTCATATGAGAGTTATTACTTCCCATACCTTGGAGGAGGAGCATTAGGGCATGATAGGTTTTGAAGGCTATTTTGCAAAAATATGAGTTGATTGTACATGAAAAATTGAATGAATGATTGGAGTTCTCTTCTAGAAAAAGAAACGAAGCAAATGTACAATAAAAAGAATGAAATTTGATGTGGCAAAAGAGAAGAAAAATGTTGAAATTAGAAAGGGATATCCAAAAATTAACAAATGTGGTGTTAATTAGAGTGAGGAACAATAAAGATTGAAACCAACAAACAAATGGTGATCTTGATTGCACTAATGCTCTAACTCACTTTGAATCCCACAAAAACATGATTTATTTGTAAGCCTAGCCACATTACAATCTTTTTGAAAGACCCTATAATCCATGTCTTTTGTGTGTACTTAGTTTGATGGGAAGCCAAGAGCAAAACTAAATCCAAAGAATTCATTAAGGAAAGTGAGACAAACACTGCTTTTGTGAGAAGGGGAAACTTTTCCTTTGTTTGATGAATGTTATTTCTCCTATTTTCTTAAAATGAAGTGCACTAGCATTCTGATATTAAACGGATAACCAATATCCTTGATCATGAACAATGCTCCTTGGTTGGAAAGTTTTGAAAATCTTAGATGATGAACATGGAAGTAATGATGATTGATTCTATCTTAAACCATTTTCAAAGATTTCTTATGAAAATTTTTGTTGCATTCAATTGCTTTGCTTGAGGACAAGCAAGATTCTAGGTTGTGGGGGAGTTGATAAATGTATAAATTAAGTAATTTTAAGTGATGACTTGAACAATTTTCATATTAAATGTTTGAAATTTTTGGTTGAATTCTCCCTAAACTTGGAACTTTTACAATTATTTGTATATTTTAGGAAAAAGAATGCAAATATAAGTGTTTTGATTCCTTTTTGATATATTTTGTAATTGGAATCAGAAGAGAAACATCACTCAAAGTTGAAGAAATCTGAAAAATTAAGTATGAAGTTGAAGAAGAGAAAGACTCTGGAGTTCTCTCACTGTAGCGAAAAATCCCTGTTGCAGCGAGAAGCGATAAGTTGTTAAGAGGGAATCTGTGCTCCTCTTGCTACAGCGAGAATTTTTTGCTGTAGCGAGAAGGTATTCTCTTGCTGTAGTGAGACATATGTCGCTGCAGCAAGAGGCAAGCGGAATAACCTAATTTTTGTCTCCATGTCTCGTCACAGCACAGTGAGAGGGTTTCGCTGTAGTGAGAAAAGTTTTGTCCAATATAGTTTAAAATCGAATTTTGTGTTTCTGCAAAGGGTTACTATTCCATTTTGATTTTTAGAGAGAAAAAGCAGTAAAAAGCTAGGAGAAAGAGTGGGAACACATATTATCTCATGTTCTATACTGTTTGTATCTCATTTCTCGTTACTATGGTTGCAATGAGCAGCTAAAACTCTTGTGAGATTGAATGTAAATCTTCAAACTTGATGTATTCTCAGTAATTTATATAAATATGGTTGTTTTTCATTTATATTGATTTGGTGATTTCAATCCATGTGTAATGCTTGAATCTTTCTAACTGATAGCTTCTTGAACCCAAATTTGAGTTGTATCTGGAAAGATATTACTTAGATTTAGATCTAATTGAGATTACTTGATAACTGGTTACTCTAGAAATAAATTTTGAGTTATTGATTGA